TTTGTCAGAATGATTTTGAACTGTCCTCTTTTATTGTCTTTTTCTGCCATTTCTCGTGATACTTTTGGATGTCTTGTGTGAAGCACTTCAAATTGTCTCGTTGCTGACATGTGCTATCGAAATAAACTTGCCTTGCCTAAATCAGTGATCGAAAGAGAGCATGTCTCTTGATTCATTGTATGCCTTACTTGAAAATCAGCATATTCAAGGAAGAGATCCGGCCTGAAAGGATCTTTGTATCGTTTAAAAGTATTGGATAAGAGTCATAAAGAAACTAATTCATGGTAATGTGGGACAGCACATGGACAGATATAGCATTTGATTGGATTTCAGACCATTTTCAATGCTGTAAAAAACTACACACAGTTTTCTAACATGAATTCTCAGATTTACATACACTTTAAAGACTGCTGTTTCTGTACCTAGTGTTCCTTAAAAGGAATTTAAGGACTCCATCAACCCAAAGAAAGTTGCTTTGTCATGGCTCTTCCAAATTCTGTGTTCCAGTTGAACCTGTTTAACATGAGTGTCAGTCAGAGCCTACGTGAATAAGCTGCATTTACAGAACTTCCCATAAATAATTCAGATGGTTTCAGTTTCTGCATACAAGCTCATGCTGCCACAGCACCAAGCTGTCAGCTGGTGTTAGAAGTTAAACAGATGCTGAACTCACCACGTTAATTCCTCCAGAGTTCGCTGCAGAGCAGACGGTCCCAAGAAAGGCCATTCCTAATATACTGCCCATGTAGGGGCCGCTCCGACCACTGAGAAAAAAGTCAACCAGGACATAACTTCACACTTCTGAAAATTTTTAGACTACGCAGCTTGTATCAAACTATTTCATCTGATGTCGTCTTTAAAATAAACAAAGATGACACAGCATACTCACACAACGAGTTGACCAACATCATGCCTGATCTTTGGTAACAGAGACTCCTTCCTCCACTTAACAAAATTCCCTAACACCTCTCCTGCAGAACCGTCCACACTGAAGGGATTCCCGTCCTTAAAGATCTCCAGGCCCATCAGCACCACGCGGATATTCAGCTGCTTATAATACTGAAACAAAACAGAAAATAAAAGCATTACATTTTGAATTAGAACACAGAGCTGGCACAAGAAATAAAAAAACATGAAAATAAAGTCTGAGAATTATTTATATTTTCTTTAAAAAACACTGAAGTTCTCACCCCGTCCAGGAGATTAGCTACTTCCACCATTTCCTCTCGTATGGCCGTCTCGTTTCCGTTCTTAAGTTTGTACTGGAAATACAATTAACACAAAAATAAATCTCCATTCCTAACATATAAAACTAACTATATACACTATGTAAGCTTAATAACTCTAGCATTATATTCCACAGCAAATGCATTAAGGTGTTAAAGTAAACAAGCACATTCCTGACTTCCACAAGCATGGTTAACCTGCTTATCTACTCGCTCAAAGAGTCTCTGAAAGGTTTAACTGTTGCAGCAAATGTAGTAACCCTATAACGTTCAGGTTCATTAATCCAGGGACTACAGATGTGAATTAGCTTATAGCCAACTCTGGTTCAGCTAATTGGCTGTACACTGTCCCTTTCAAAATAAACAAATAAAATACATTTAAATTTAAAGATATACACACTCACCCTGAGATTATCCACAACCACCACCAACTCCACATAACTGGTTAGTGGCAAATTGCGCTTCCTCTGTTGAAAGAAAAAAAAAAGGATTAATTTCACTCTTAGCCTCTTCCGCTCATTTTTCAAATATACTTTCCAATTAACAAATCCAGCATCCTACCCTCAGCAGCTTGGTCAGTGATTGGCCCGGCTCAAACGGTTCATGGCTTTGAGTTGATGCATCCTCACTGACGACCCCACAGCTGATGGGCCCAGTCTGATCGTCATTCAGAAGGTAGAGAAGGTGGTCGTTTGTTTCAGACTGTTCCACGGGTTCAAGTCCGTACGTTTCATTTCCGATTACAATCACACCCCTAGAGGAAGTAGGACAAAAATAAATACAGTCAAAGGAATGTTTCGGTCTCTGCCAAAGCTAGGAGTGACACAGATTTTATGAGACAGAGGAGCACAGATACATTTAGAAAAAGGTCTGGTAACTTTCTTCAGACAAAAAAAAAAAAAAAAACAACCGCCTGAAATAAGTGAAAAAATACCATGTAACCATGAAATATCAAACAATTCAATGTCTGCCTCTACTTGAGCTTTAGTAATAATCTTCTGGGAATATCAAAAAACTCTCAAAGAACATTAGGTATACAGCTAACAATTTTTTTCTTTATCAATTAGACTTAAAAATCATTTCCAAGACTCCTCATGTCAACATTTAGTCAAAACATTGTAGAAAAATTAATTTCACAATTTCAAAGAGCCCAAGACTTATGTCTTATGGTTTTCTTCCATAGTTAAAATAACCATCCACAGTTTAAAGACCCTTCAATTGCTCTCTACAAAGGAAGGAAAAACCTTACATTCAGAAAGATGGAGCCAGTGAAAGTTCAATATCTCTGCTTGAAAATTACTGAAATGATGAATAAATTATTTAATTAGCTGGTGATTTATTTTCTTTGATTAATCACGGCTGCTCTAGACAAGATGAACGCAAGTGAGTCCAATTCATAATTTTTTTTTTTTTTTAAATCCTTAAAATGAGTTTGTTAAACCTAAACCAGTTTTTTTTTTTTTTTAAATCAGAAAATACTGTAAACGACACAAGTCAGTGATCCATGTAAAGTTAATTCATGTTAACACTGATTCAGTGTCATGCCCTAGATCCATTTAACACTCAAATGAAGAAGTAAAACGTTATTATACACTTTTAAAACTCTCAGTTACAAAGTGCTTCACACATAAAATTGCTCAGAACTGGGAACAGCAGAAGAGAATTTCAAACCTAAGGCCAGAGCATGTGCTGAGTGCTACCACTGAATCCTCATATCCCTCCACCTGGCCGTGGTAATAGCAATGCACCTGAGAAAGAAGAGCAGAATATGTTTGAGAATAGGCGTTCAAACCAGCCTCCTGATCCACAATGACCTTATGTTTACTTACAGATTGCTTCGGATAAGATGGCTCGTAGTTCCCAGTGGCATCACTTGAAAACTGAACAAAGTTCGGATGTAAAAATTCTCTGAAAACAAAACAAAAAAATTACATAAATGATCTCATCTGAAAAATAAACAAGGGCGTTATCTGAGGAACATTAGCCAAGTCTTCACACCTGTGTATACCTGTTCTTTTGCAGATGAAGGAGGTGCTTCCTGCTGTTAATGTTAAGTGCATATGAAATGTTCTCATCTTCATCATCTGAAATGGTTATAACCAACAAAAGATTTTTTTATTTTGTGGAATAGAAATAGCAGTTTAAAATACATGTGTGGTTTTTTTTTGTTTAGTTTTTTAAATCAGGGATGTAACTTACTCCTCTTGACTGTGTTTCTGTGTTGATGCTCCTTGTCCATCTTCGAATCAACTGAGGATTCACAATGGAGTATTTGGAGCGTCGTAAAGGGAGCTCATTGTTAATGTCTGGAAGAAAAGTGTTCACCCCAGAAACTGTTAAGATAGACATTTTGTATTTCGGGGCTCAGCCAATGCCATTTCTTAACAGGACAGAAAGCACAGACAAATGATCCAACCAATGAAAGCTACTGTAGGATATTCACATGATACATTTAAACACTTTTAAACAACAACAAAAAAACAGATGCGAACATATTTCCATTAAATGGAAGCTTAATGGAGTAAAAAAAATGTGTAAAAGTCCTATCGTTTAGAAAAAAAGCAACCTCTATCGTTCCTTATCTTACTATCCAACCGATAAGTTGACCGTATCACCTTCGCCTCACCTTTGTTGTCAATCACAGAGACGTGGCACAGCAGGAAAACAGCGAATACGCTGTGTTTCAATTCCATATCCCTGGTGGAAGTACCCAGAAACTCGGTTAAGCCCCAATAGTTTGTATGCAACCTATTAATGAATGTAGGCTCGTGCCTTTACTTCCTTCTGTGAGTCAGGTGCTTCGTGTTGGGTGTGGCTTATAACAGGTGAGCCGGTAAGGCTGATAAGGCAGTAAATATTTGTACTATCATTAAGTAGGCAGTTTAATTGTTAAAGGTTAGTATAAGAGTGAGGATAACTGACAGAAAAAAAGTTATTGCTTCCCTATTAATTGCATGATCTCCAGGGGGTGAGCATCACTCTGTGCTGTAAATATAAATTGATACATCGTCTTTAAAAAAAAAAAGGGGACAATAGTTTTGAAAACTCAAGCATCGGAACTTCCCCGTATCTATTTGTCCAGTCACAACAAAACAATAGACTCAGACCCTCTTTCAAACCAACCCCTACACCCTCCCCCTCCGTGACGGAGTGACACTCGCAGATGAGTGAAGTCCCCTTCATCAAGGTGTAGGGTAGAAATACAGCGGCACACGGAAACAGGAACTGTGGGGTTACTCAGAGGTCTCTTTGCGGGAAACTGCTTTTTTTTGTAGCTAATGCATTCTGCAAAAGTATTTATGTAGCCTAGATTATTCTTCTACTGTAGTTATATTAGTGTAGACTTATAACAAAACTATTAGATTGAGCCTACATTGTTATAATTTCAGTTAATTTATTGTCATTTCATAGAACAGCTGTTAATATTTATTTCTTATTTTTCTACTTTTGATGTCTTTGTGAAATCTCAATTCAACAACAAAAAAATACACTTTTTTTTGCTGCTCTGATGTTCAACAATATTATCCTTGTCTTTGCTTTAATTTAGGACACCCGAAAAGTTGTCCGCAACATGATTTTAATATTCTTTTTTTTGCAACAGTCCCTGTAAATATAAAACACTTATAATAACAATAAATAAACATATATTTGATCCTCACTGCACATTTGAAGTTGTTAACGTCTGTATGACGATATTAAATGTCTCTCGTTAGTTAAGAGTTGAAGCAGCCATGGAAGTTTTGATATCGCGATAATTCGGCATTTGTTACGTCACGCGCATGCGGAAGTGTTTCGTTAATAAACAGCGGTGCTTTTTGTTTTTAGCAACCAACATTCAACAACTTCAGAGAGTGTAGGTAGTTTTAACATTAACCAAGGAGGGAAAAAAGTGTCCTCAAAGGCATCATTAGCGATGTTTATTTTCCTAAAATGCGGTCACTCTGCTTGCTCGAATCCAAACTAAGTTGTATTTGTTTTATTTCTAACAACCTACGGTGGTACGAAGCTAGTTAGCATGCAGGGTAGCCATTAAAAGAGGGCGTTTGAAGTCGTTTAATGATAAACTGTCATGTTTTACACAGAAACACCAACTACGATCTAAGACAACAGTCAGAATAATATAAGAACATAAGATAACATTTTCCTGCATTTTCTTGTAACCTTGGTAACGACACTTCGCCAGTCACATGACAGCATGGCGACTTATTTATTTGCGTTTTAATTGTTTATAAATAGATCGTGTGATGTATGGCTGCGTACCATATCTTGAGATTTGCCCGCTTATTGAGGAAAGGCCTGCCCAAAAAACAAGCCTGGACCATCCCAAACAACACACCCTTTGTGGTGTCAGCTCAAATAGTTTTGTAAGTATGCTTTTAGTGTTTTGCCGAACTGTAAAGTGTTTTCTCATGCCTGTGGAATGTCTTATTGTTGCTTATTTCTTCTTTTTTTGTAGAATGACAGCACTGTTAGACGTTGAACCTTTAACTAAGAGACTCAGGGTTGAAATCAGGTCTCCAACACCCTCCTCCATATGTTCAATGAAAAGTAGGTTTTCGTGTTTCTGTGATTGGCTTATTTTAATTTTCGCCACTGTTGTTAAGCACTATGTTGTATTTTTGTTTCCCTATCCTTAGTTATTCGCAGCAAAGACAACGAGACAGTAGATCAAGCGAGAAGGAAAACCATAACAGAGGCGAAGATGGATTCAAGGACAAAAACTGGAGCAGATGGTTTGCGAGGCGTAAAGACGAAAAGTCAGCATCAAAAAATGCGCCCAAAACAACAAAAAAAGAATAGTCTTGAACGGTGGCTGGTAAACACCTCAAAGAACACAAATGCGGCTGTAATGTGCCAAACCCAAGAGGATGTAGAAATGGCCGAAGAAGATTGCGTTCAAAGCACCTCAGCTCTGATTACGGACTGCAAAAACAATGAAAAAACATCCGTCTCTGACTCGGATGAGGAAACTCAACCCTTGACGCCGCAAGACCTGGATGAAAACAATCCTGTGTCACCGGTTCCAAAGAAATATGTGGGAAGTGAATTAATGCAAACACTGCCCAATAATGACGGTGGATTAGAAAAACAAGAAAGGGAGATTTGCCCAGCCAGCTCAGATGACTCTGTCAAACACAAGGCCAAAATAACAGACTTCTTTTCAGGACGCTCATCCTCATCAGGTTACCTGAGAGACGGGGAAGGCCAGATAAGTCTGTCGAGCCTGATGTGAAATGGCTGGGGTCACCTATTAATGAGCTGAAGAGAATGCCTGAATGTGGCAGACCGCTTCCTCCGCTGAGGGATGTTCCTGGACAGCACACTGTGATGATAAGGGTTTGGGCTATTCTTCTTTTTAATACAGCTCTTCTGAAAGCAGTAATGAGTTATAGAGCATGTGCTCAGAAATGTAGATGTAGAAGTTGGTGTACTTTGTGTCTGAACTGTTTTACATTTTTCAAGTACATTATTATACTACTGAACAACAAACTGTTTCTTCATTGTCATACACTGTTTACAGATTGCCATTGCTTGAATCAAAATTGATTTATTTCATGCATCAGTCTGGTGAAACTGAGATCTTTCTAGGTGCCAGTTCCTGAAGATGCTGAAACATGTTTCTCCAAGTCTTTTAAATTTTAATATCTGTGATTGCTGTCAAGTGAAACTTACCAAATCTGAATTCAGCATTTTACCGACTTGAAACTATATAATAACAACAGGTAATTAAACTCAACCTTGATGTAGTTTAAACTTTTAAGAATCTAATTGAAGAATTCAGTTTTTTTTGCCACTTAACACGAACATATTGGAATCTACAGTACGAATCATGTTTAAATAATTAAATGTCTCTGCTTGTTTAAGTGCCGTTTTGTACAATTATAGGATATCTTATAATCAGGCTTTCAACTCACTTGTTAACATACAAAAACAGCATCTGTATAATTGGTGATTATTCTTGCATTGTTACTTTCTAATCCATTTCTTATTGTTAATATGAATTAATTAAGTTTTGCATTTACTCATAGCTTTATGTTGCACTTCTTCCTTTTGACAGACTGACCTGCTGGAGAGTGGTAAAGTTCCTGCTCCATATCCTGCTAGGTTTCAGGATACCTGGGATGATGTCTATGTGAAGATGCCCTGTTCCAGTAGGAGTCTGTTTCCTGTTGTGGATGAGGTAATGACCTGAAATGCCTACAGATCAGCCTGTCTAGCAGATGAATCCATGGTGTATACAAGCTCATTAAAACCCTGTGAACGTAGAAAATGCCTTATTAAAACAAGTTAACATATTTTATTGCTTCAAATGAGGATGATACAAAGAGAAGAGTTCTATTCAATTGTATGAATGTAGTTTGAAAGTGTTGAAATAACATTTTAAGGAAGACTTTTGCAAATGATTGTGTTTTTACAGGACATCTCTTTACATTTACTTTCAGTGTCTCAAATCTGCATGTGCATGAAAACGTATAAGGTGCAAATCACTGTTTGGAACTTTATAACAGTTTTTAAATCATTCATGTTAACGGTACTTCACGAAACACACCACAGCATTTTGTAATGTTTTTCACTTTGCAGATATCTATTTTGTGTTATTATATTATATTTTGTACAAAGAGAGCACAGTTTACCAAAGTAAAATCCCTTGGGTGTTAAAACATACTTGGCCAATAAAGCTGATTCTGATTTTGATTCTGATACCTAACCTGAATTTGTGCCTCCACAGGAAACAATGGAACTACAGAATAAGAGTCGGTGGGAGTTGATCGAGGAAACTTTAAACAACAAATTCACAAGTCCACATGAGTTGAAGGCAAGTTTCACATATTTTTTCTGTGGACAGTTCTGTAGCATTTCACTTCATAAAACAAGGTGCAGACATCACTTTGTGTGTAATTACCAGACTTTGCCATGAGATGGCGATATTAGCCCAGAAACTGAGATGCACACTCAGAAATTGGATACTTTGTCATTTTGTTTACAGTTACAGTTTACCCTTTTAGGTTTCCTGTACATTAATAATTTAATTTGTTTGTTGCAGAATGCCATCTTGAAATACAGCGCCTCAAACGCCAAGAAATGGGACTTCACAGCATTAAGTTTATACTGCACAAAGGTAAACAACTTAATATCTTTTGCACTTCCTGATTACTCTTTATAAATATTGCTGAACTCAAAAGCAGAAAATGAAGTTTTCTTTTTTTGAATTTAAAATGTCAGGAAAAGTAATTTGATCAATACTGGCATGCAGACATGTGAACATCAACTGTCAAATGGTGAAAATGAATTGCCCAACAGACAGCATCGTTAACCAATGACAAGGCTCTTCTGTGGCCAGAGGAAGTACAGATGGCTCATAAGTTAGTGATGAGAATCTCTTCTGTTTGTAGAAGACACTTTTGTACGTTTTTTAATTTCACACTCGACCAGATTGAGCTTAATATGAACCATATTTAAGTCGCATTATGAATCAATGAAAATTGAGAGGATTCATATCTTCATATCTCTGTAGAAATCTAGAAAAAAGTCAAAACTTTTCAGATATTTCTCTTTGATTCTTTCTCTCCTTCTTGAAAACAATGTTTTTAAATACGTTTTTGGAAAAGATTGGTTCTGTTATCAAGCTCTGTAGTTGCCTGGGTGTGCACAGATTATGTTTTTTTAAGCAGCATCAATATCAAATTAAGAACATTTTATTAAAAATGTGATTCATGAGACCAAGTATCACGTTTGTGTGCCGTGTGGACATCTGGCTGTTTGAATTTCTGAGGCTCGGATCATAAAGTTATATTTTTAAAAGTGTTATTTATGAGCGCTTTATCTTTTACTGTCCACAGCTTTGTCATTTTCTTTCCAAGCCAAGGGTAAAATAGGCTCGAGTTACATCATGATGGCCAGAGCGCTGTTGGTTCATTCGTTGTCTCCTCCAGACTCTTTTGGAGGCCATCCATCATCTGTAGTCTTGACGTGCTCTGCGTCATCCTGTGTAGAGAATCAGGGAGGGCTGTACTACTGTCTGGCTCATGAAAGGGACGGGAATATTCCATTTTGGAGAGTCGGGCGTAGTTGTGACACGAGGGTTTGATAGAAAGGATCCTGAGTCTGTGTGACCAGCTCTGAACTGCATACTACATGTTTTTTTTTATAATATATCCCATCTGAGGGTAAAAGTACATGTAACACTCTTTTTTTTTTCTTGAATGCCAACGTGTCAGATGTCTATCTGTCATTGTGCACAAGTACAGTAATGGATTTCACATGGGAGAATGTTGAAGCCCTTCAGAGGCATAGTGGGAGTCTGGAGAATTCACTTAATCTTTTGCCAAAAGGTCACGTTTCGTAACTTGACAGAAATGAAAACGGTTGACATTACATCGAGGAACGCTTTAGCCCAGCTATATACCATTAAATCAGTTGTTTGCCCAACAATATCAGTATGTATGTCGTAAATCATGTGAGAAAAGGGAATTTAATAAGATGAAAGATCCCTGGCTGAGACTCTGCTTTAGCCAGAGATCTAGTTCTCTGTGTTGAAACTGGATTTGGATTGTATGAAGTGTCCATTACTGATCAAATGTAAATAACACTGCAAAATGTGTGTACTATCAAAAACTTGTAGGACGTAACCTTCCACAAATTAAAGAAACGGTTTGAGCTATCACTGTTATATTTTTCTTAATTTTAAGATGTTTGTTAACAAGCAGTCAGTCATGGGCGCCGGTAGGCCAGTGGTCAGCGTGCACGTCCTATGTGCAGATTCTGTAGTCCTCCAAGCGGGCGGCCCAGGTTCAAATCCGACCTGTGGCTCATTTCCCGCATGTTGTTCCTCACTCTCGCTCTCTCTCTCTTCGGTTTCTGACTCTATCCACTGTCCTGTCTCCAACATCAAGGTTCAAAAAGCCCCAAAATAAATTTTTAAAACAAACAAGCAGTCAGACAGTTGTTCACCAAACACTGTCAAAATGGAACATCTCACTGTACCAAATCAAATGATCGTCATGTAAGGTACTCGCAGCAGGTAAGTTTCAAGAGCCAAATTAATATCACAAAGACAGACTCCACACTTTGACTGAGACATGAATCTGTTTGTGCTGTAGCATTCAGCCTCGATGTACAGTGTCTCTAATCTATCAATAGGAGAGTTGCTCACACGGCCCACAGAACAAAGTGGCTGTTTGTTGGCACACTTATTTTAAAAATCCAATCACAGAGGATCCAACATTGTCCAGTTTATTTCCATTGCATCACACAACTAACATGAGGAATATGAAGAAGTTGCACACAGTTTGTGTCTCACTGTATTGCTGTTTCATGGAGTAGCTTGATTGGAGAATAGCAGAATGATTTTGAGTGTCAGAGAAGAGAAGACGTGAATGGCACAGAGTGACGGGCTGGGCAGCCTCATTGAATATTCATTCCAGCACGTACACCTTATGAATAACCGAGAAGCTGTTGACTGGCAGCATCAGTTCGGTCCGTTGTTCTTTCTCCACTTTACCCAGTGTCGTATTAATGGTTATGAGCCTGCCAGTGTTTTCTTTTTTGACACAGCTTCACGTCCACAGAGGCAGCCAGGCGGATTGCTTTATTGCTCGGACCTGCGGGGAATCAGAACAGCAGCGTGAAGCATTGTATTAAATCTGTATGAGGGCCCTTGTTCCCCCCCCCTCCCCCCCCCCGCATCTTGCTTGATTACTTTGTCAGTTCGCTTTGATGTACAGACCTGTATCAAGTCATACAGAGAGTTAGCCCCGGTTGATTTGATGCACTGTCTTGTGCGTGATTTAAAGAGCTCGGATCGTACTACCTCAGCTGTATCTGCCGCCTCGCCCTGTCAGCCGCCTTCATTTATTACGCCCATAGGAGCAGTTTATGATGTCAACCAGGTCATTACTTATGACAGCGTTTAGTCAGGCTTCCTTTGCCAATAATATAAATGTCCTGGGCTAAATCACCAGTCAAGGCTCCTTGTCCTGGGAACACACTGTCCTTTCTGTTTCAAATGCTTGTTCATTTGCATCTCTTCCTGGAAGACTTTTTAATCAGCTGGCGTGGTCGTGTAACCTCGATGAAATGGCTCTGTGATTGATCCCGCTGACATTTTGCAGCTGATATGGTGTGAATAAAGGTTGTATATACTGTCTGATGTACGTTAGTGCACTTAATCAGTGTTGTGAAGTCATGGAGGGTTAGTGTGTCTCTTTCACATTTAGTCAGGGTAATATCATTTTAGATTTGCTCTCCAGCTGGAGCTTAAAATTCTCTTTGAAATGTCCAACATGAGGTTATCGTCTTCATTTGACACCCGTTTCACCTGCACAATATTCAAGGCATTTTGCTCGTAATTCATGAATGTTTGTTTCTCTGTAAGACTTGTCGATAAAGCATCAACATTTTGACATCTGATCTGTAAAATGTTGTCTGCTTATCTCAAATGTATTTATCCAAACCAGCTCCTAATGTCACAGCTGAGTTTTGTGGCAGGACAACAAACATTAACAGATCTCTCGCTCTCTCCAAGGTCCTGGGGCCTGATGAGGCTGAACATCTGTTTGACTCCCTGCTGCCAGACGTGGCGCAATTAGCACTGAGAGCATCCGAGCTGTGCACCAAGGTAACAGCCATCACTAACCAACCCACAGACAACTGACTCACCAGTCTGTGAAAACAGTAGATCACCCCCAGCAGGTTGATCCCAAAGGTCACGACATGACAAATAATCTTGTGAAATGGACATTAAAAAAAAAAAAAAACCAGCTGAGGTCAAGGCACGCAGCCATTGATGGTCATTTATTGGATGGTTTATTGTCCATTTGGTCATCTGGTTCTTTGGTGTGTGGATGATGAACAACTGAGCTTATTTGCTGTCCCCTAGAATGAATCTGGGAATCAGTCAGTTCTTCATAATAATCTTTAATAGAGAGATAAAAGAGTTCAATTCTAACTACTCTATTTAAATCTGTTGTCAGTGTTTGAGGTGTTAGATACCAAAATAAACAGATTAGGCCTATTGCATGATAAAAACCGGTTGCAGTGATTTGATATCGAGCTTAATGCTTGACCTGTATTGGAGAACTTTAGTAATATGATTTATCCGTTAATATTGATTTGATGTTCCTGATGTTTCAAACATTTTAGCCATACAACTTGTCATGTCGTCCTGTAGATCTCTCATGTAGCTTTCTCATCGTTACTGCTGAATTGCTGATACAGACGCTCTGATTATTTATGAAAAGAATGGATCTTTTGTGACTTTGACATTGATTGTAATTATGATTGCTGATTGAAGAAGCGCAGAGTGGAGCCAAATGACTACATTTAAGCAACATACTTCAGTGTCTCATTTGGCAAATGAACCAAACAAATGATTCTGACCTTCCCTCGCTTGTACCTGTGTTTCCTCCTCTAGCCGATACCACTCCTCAAGGTAGGCATGGACCACTCCATCACCATGTCTCAGGAGCAGGTGGCATGTCTGCTCGCCAACGCCTTCTTCTGCACCTTCCCCCGACGCAACTCCAGGAGGTCTGAGTACAACAACTATCCAGACATCAACTTCGTCAGGTAATGAAGGGCACATGTTTAAAGTTACACAATCAGGCTTTATATTACGTTTCTGTGACAACTAGCTTCATTTCCATGAGGGGGCACTACTGTATATGCTTTCTTTACCGCTCATTTAGTCTTCTTGCTACATGTTACAGCAAACATTTACATTAAAAGTATATTAAAGCATAAGCAAACACCATCTTATAACCTCACCAGTTTAATCTGACTTTAGACATTAATATGAAAGATTTACCTTAAGAAATAGACATTAAGTGCATCTTTTTCTTACCAAAAGTCTTAAATCAATAACTAGTTGTTGGTCATTCGATCAATATGGAACATATTTATTCTGATTATAAATATACATCAGGTCGGGAGAGTCTCCTGTATTTAAATCCCTGCAGGTATTCACTGTCGAGATCATCTGGCTGCTGCGATGCAAAATCAGTCCTCAGAGCCCTGCTCAGTCATGTCCCTCCTCTCTGTTGGCATCACATTGTAATTACCTAAATGGAAAGGGGAATTAGATAAACATTGACTGAGATGGCTGCTTTTGACAATGGGGAAGGCCACTGGCTGTTTATCAGAAGGATGTAACAGAGTTCAATTGCATCAGTATTTCATTCACGTAAAAGTTTTGCCCGGATTTGAAAAGAAAAACGAGCTCTGGATGTCTAATGGTTAGGGAGTGCCCCATGTACTGAGGCTGTAGTCCTCCAAGCGGGCGTCCTGGGTTCAAATCCGAACTGCGCATCCTTTTCCACATGTCATTCCCCAATCTCTCTCTCTCCCCGATTTCTGACTCTATCCACTGTCCCTACACCTTAAAAAAGAAAAACAGTGTCATCAATTTAACCTGCTGCTTAAAATAGTCCTCATACACCACTTTGGTTCAAGTGAGGATTTGAAATGCATGATTTAGCATGTAATTGTTTTTTATTTTATAACTTTTTGGTGAAGATGTAAAGGAGCCAAACTCCTGTTTTTTGAAAAAAAGAAAACTGGCTTTTTTCTCTTGAGACCCTCTTTGATCTCAGACTGGATTTCCCAGTTTTTTTAAGAGAAATGTTTTCTTGATGCCGATGATACAGAAACTCCGCTGTTAAACATACTGTAGTCACTCATACCCTCTTCTGAGTTACATCACAGCTTCCTGCCCTCTGTGTGGGTAAATGGATGTTATATAATTGTGTATTAATTCTCTTATCCCCATAGACCATACTGCGATTTCTTACTAAAAGCATGCTCTCACTAGTGGCTACTTAATGTCAAAGACTTTGCCCTGAGGACTACACAGCGCTCGACTTTTTTTAGGGGCAAAACTGACAAAAAAAAAAATAGAAACCAATGCAGGAGTTGACTTCGATGAATGAGTTTCCATCGCCTGAAGGGCTCTCAGAGCGTCAAGCTTTTGTCATTATTTTATTTCCCTCGCATGAAATGTCTTTCTCCTCATTGTGGCATGTGAGGCTGGCTGCAGGCTTCTTCAAAGAGTTGTTCTCGAGAGCGAGATGGTGGGCTTAATGCTGAAAGTGCTTTCAAACCTGCCCACTGCAACTCCACACCAGCAGCTTTGTGTGTGTGTGTGTTTGTTTGTGTGTTATTTTTCAGTGGAATTGACCTTTTTTCCTCCTGAGGACTCTGCAGCTTAAAAGGGACACAGGGCTTCCTAATGTATCCGCAAGGAGGGAGCCCTGTCCCCCCTCTCTGTTCCTTTCTTTTTGTCTGAGTGCTGTGATGTGGCACATGAGTGTGACCGTGATGGCGAGCCTGGGGGCAACTCCATCGTCGAACAATGTAGGAACTCCTACATAATCGGCGAGTGACTGAATGGGAAGCTGAGAGAGAGATAGACTAATTCACATCAAAAGTTAAAGCTTGACTGAACTCACATGGCTAGAGTGGAAGTCTTGTGTCTCTACAGCACTGGTTACATGGAGAGACATTTTTCCTCGTCTCTGCTGTAGATCTTTGATAGCTAATGAACCTCGAAGAGTTGGTGGTTGGCTGTGGTGCCATGTTTAATCTGCTTGCTAGGGAAGTGTGCTTCATTTGTAGAAGGTGACATAATACGTAGTCAACAAGAACTGTGTTGAATCCTGACTCTTCTCTGGCCATCAGACTTTTTGGGGGATCCTCTTCAAGCAAGATTGAGAAGCTGAAAACCCTGATGTGCTATTTCCAAAGTTTCACAGAGCAAAGTAGGTGTTTACAGTTATCATTTTCTGAATTCCTTATGATTGATGTAAAGTAAAATACATGGTTGATATTTCATTGTTCTCTTTTGTCTTTCAGAGCCTCCTGGACTTGTCACATTCACACGGAAAAGCTTGGACAAACCTCTGAATTGGAAAAGGTGTTGTTCAGTGATTATGTAGCAAAGAAAATGATTGTCAGTTTTTTTTTTCTGCCACTTTGCTTTGACTGTCTGGTAGCAAGCATAGATAACTGATCTCAACTCTAGTCCATAGCTGTAAAGCACTTCACTATTTGTCTTTCAGCTCACAGACTCGGCTCACAAAGCTCCACATAACTTGTGAAGGGACCATTGAAGACGACGGTTGTGGAATGCTTCAGGTAAGACGAAGGGGAGACGTGAACCTGCACAGATTTATATTGTGATTTAGAGGGAGGTCACCTGGCAGGACCCTGGTCTTTTGCCTGAGGAGGCTCTCAGTTTGAGAAATACTCCTCCTTAGTCCTGCTTCCCCTCCTCCACCCTCTCTGCTATAGTCAGTCTCCATATTCTCGAGTGTTTCACCCAGAATGCTTACCGCTGCTGAAAAGGCCTTTGAGGGGAGCCTCTGACACGTCGCAGGGAGTGTGCGCTGGGACTGGGGTCGAGGCCCCTGAGCTTCCTCTGCTCTTCGTGTCGGCCGTGCTTCCTGTGCACTGTCAGGACGGCCCGCTCTGCCTTTCACCTTTTGTTTGCCTCCGGTTGCCACAAGCTGACAGTTGATGTGCACACATGACCAGCTCCGGGGGCTCGCCACGGCGCGGGATTGATGGATGCTCTGCTGGGGTGGGGTGGGGGGGAGGGGGAGGGGGGTTGGTGCTTTGACAGCCTGTCAAAGCAGACTTCAGAGGCTGGCTCACTGTCCCCAGAGTTGAGTGACCAGTTTGGGGAGATGTGCTGCTTACTCCTTTGCTGCTTCTTCCCGGGGTTGTGACGAGGTTGCTTTGGGCCGTCTACAGGCCAATGAGCAACAACTGTCAATCCTGAAATTGAATTATTTGTTCCCCATGGCTGCTTTCTGACTTAAACAATGCGTTGTCATTCCTTTTTCTCTGAGCAGAAACAGCGAGAAACGTACTGTCGTTTGAATCACAAGATGACCAAAATAAACAATGGAAACAGGGTCACACAGAGATCTGCCCACAAGCTGGAAAGAACGAGAAGGAAAACAGATCATAGGCATCTGTCAGCAGTCACTTTAGCAGCATGTTATGACTGGAGGGAGATGTTATATTGGACTTTGGACTGCTCTCTCTTTTTTTGATATTTGCCACCGGCAGCAGCACACCTAAGTGCTGCTCCTGGGGAGAGCTCATTTTGGCATGGGGGGACAAATGTCTGAGTAATGCTAGAACCTCAGGCCACCTTCATGAACAGAGATTTTGTCACAAATAAAAAGAAAAGGGCCCAAACCTTTTTTTTAAAGGGGTCTGTTGAAATCTGTGGAACTATAAATATCACTTTCTAAGAAAATGCTTCAATGCTGTCATCCGTTTTTATGTTGGCCTTTTGTTTTAAAAGGATATTTGAAGAGAAAGTGGATAATGCAAACGCATGGATGTCATTTCAAAAGGTGTCATTTGCAGGTGGATTTTGCCAATAAGTTTGTGGGAGGAGGAGTCACCAGTTCGGGTCTAGTGCAAGAGGAAATCCGTTTTCTGATCAACCCAGAGCTTATCGTTTCTCGCCTCTTCACTGAAGCCCTGGATCATAACGAATGTCTGATCATCACAGGTCAGTGGTCACGTTTCTCACACACTGTGTTAAACAATACTTCACACTAAAGGGAGTCCTGCTTTTTCTTTCTTTTTCATGACTTAGTCCGTTGATCCAGATCAGATCAATAATGCCCTGGATCCTCACAACGGCCATTTCTAGTAACACCCAGCAGGGAGTACACAATGCACTCCTTCAATTTACCCCATCCTGGTTCAGCTTGAAGCTGAGGGATGTTTGTCGCAATTGCTCTCTTTTCTGTATTTGTCCTCGTCACATGCTGTCTTTTGATTGGCTGCATGGGGAGACTGGCAGCATCGGTCGAGGGTGTGAGATAGGGCCGTCCTGATTGCTGTACATCACTTTTGAGTGGTTACAAACAAACAAGGCTTGGACCGACCGCTAGACCCAGTAACAAGAGCCAGACTTATAGAGTCCCAGCAGGTGGCTGATGGCTGCAGTCTGCTTTTTCTTTTTTTCAACTGTCTGTCACTGTTTGTCGAGACTGTTGTAGCCGTTTGATTGTGATTGCTGAAAGGATTACAAAAATAATCATACATTAATAAAAAGACAAGATTTATTATACTTCTTGTTTAAGCATATATGATTCTCTAGACAATGTAGTTTGAAAAAATACAAAAAATGTTTAAACTACAATTTAGCTGATTTTCAACCTACGCTTTACCTGCCCTGATCCTGCATCTCTCAGTAATGTGTAGATTTTAAAGATGTGTTTCTTAAAAACATGGCAACTTAGACTAGAGTAGATTAAAATAGAATACAAATAAAATGCAAGCGCCACTCCTAGTTGATGCTCAAACATTAAAAAGAAATGCTTGCATACAATATGAAAGACATTTCAGCTGCACACTTAAAACAAAGAACCCTTTAATGTAAAAACAACATAACAGCCAAACCATACACAGTATGATAAATAACCAGGTCAAGTGCCAGAGTCAAAGTGCTGTAGTGCTAATAGAATTAGATACATCTCAGTGTATCTCAGTAATCGTCTCATAAAAGTGATTAAAACAATAATTGAAAGGACACTTTTCTGTGTTGATGCTCGATTGGAGTTGAATATCTGAGTCCACAAAACATAACCTAGGTTTTTATTTCCTGTGCACTATTTATTTTCTAACTGTGTTGCTGTAGTTATTTAGCTAACTAACACCAACTACTTCCGCTGTCTGTATGCAACCTTTCCAGCTGAAATCATTCACCACCCCCTGAAATATCTACCTTAACATTACATAACTGGTGGGTTGGATTTCTTCAGGAAGTGAGGCTGCAGAGCCTCCGCCCTCCTGATCAGCAATCATAGCGATGCATCAGGTCTTTGGCAGAGTCACCTTCAGACTCCTTGCCGGCCATCCCTCTCTTGCCTTCACTTACGCCACTTAACTTTATTACTGCGGCCCAGAATTAATTATAGCTCGAAGACCTGCCCAAGACCTGCTTCGCTAATGGACTCTTCCATTCCATCATCTTTATTAAACCCTGCCTGTATCTCTTGTCCCCCTCGTTGTAAAAGTCCAAGCCTTAGCTGCATTGTGGCCATGTGGTAAATCGTATTCCCTTGTGATGTGTTTTGGCATACTGTCGGGAGGCTAATGGATCCTACCTCTGCACTGAAATTTGTAAAAGTGCCCAGGTCTAATTGAATTTTCCTTGATTGCTAGATATCTGGCAGCCATTGTGGCGGTCAAAAGTATAAATAGCATCAAGGCGAAGTCATGTATTCATTGATCGCAGTACTGACCAGAAAAAGTGGTGCAAGCTATGACGTCAGCATGAGAAAGAAAGAGGAAACTCTTCTTTAGTTTGCGAAACGTTCTCTGCATTGTTGCACTGTTTGTCGGCGGGAATGGATGGTTGTTTAAGCTGTCTGAGAAGAGTCATTTGGGAGTCAAGTAGTGGTCTTAAAGATATGTGTTGAACCTTGTTTAGATAACATTTAAAGCTATTCTTCTTATAGAGCTAGATCACTATTTTTGACAGCTTAGCAGTGTTGACATCCTTGTTTAGTTGAGAGCAGATGCCTACTTCTGCTTCGAGATTGCAATGAGATGCGCCCCTGACCTTTTACTGTGTATGGTCCACCACAAATACGAGCCACTTTGTTTTGATGTATTAACACATGAAAGGAGCAACCTTCAGGATGGTTTTGACTCGTCATACCTGCTGATTTTGATCTAACCTCTTTGATAATAACAAATCATTTTTCAAAAACCAGTCACATCTTTCCCTGCAAAAGATTGTGGCCTCCTGATAAAAAAAAATATAATCTTGAATTGAATCTTGATTTTTTTTGTGGCAGATACCGATATTGGGTAGGAAGATACCAATACATAGGCTGATATCTCCCTTAGATCTATGTTCGATCTGTGGAGATACATAGATAAACCCATTTATTGTGTTGATCCCTCAAATGCAGTTATCAAACACAAGTGGAAAAGATGTACGGTATAACAAGATGGTCACTCAACTGGAAAATAACTGGAGACTCTGGAGAGTGAAAATGTATCTCCATTAAGCACACTCTGCGAATGAAAGAGAACTGCTAGTGTAATAAAATTAAATGCTATTTGAATGGTGAATAAATCTAGTAATATCGGCACATATCTGTGTTCAATTAGCCGATACCGATAGTCACTTGATAGGCTAATATCGGCTGATATTTTGGCTGGCCGATTAATCGGTCGGGCTCTAGTAAAAATGGCTTATATGAGAAAAGGAGGAGCAGTAATGTTGAAGTTAAGATTTTTGGCAGGAGGGTTAAACACTATCAGCAACATGATAACGTCTCCTTGATATCATGTAACACAACGATTACATGGCTAACATGTTACATCCAAGAGTTTTTATAACACTCCGTGTGTTCAATATATTTTCAGTATCAAACTGTTTTTATTATTGTTTAAACGGTTATAATATTCTTATCAACATACTTTGTGTTGTAGCAATCAGTGGGTGAACTGCATTGTTTTGATGAGCAGCGATGGATGTGTAAGAGCATCCCGCTAGATGTTCTACAAATATTATATTGTATTTCCTCAGTAGATGGAGAGTAAAAAACTGTATCTGTGGTTGCAGCTGCTCAATGTATTCTCCTGGTCAGCCTCAATGTTCTAATGAAATCATGCAGTATGCTTTAAACCACATTCTGCTCCCGTGTTTTTTTTTTGTTTTTTTTTAAGTGGTAAGAGGCAGGCTGATTATTAGACTGTCAATTGAAGTACGCTCTAGAGATTCCCTCCCCCACGGTGCGCCTTCTTATAACTGCACACAAAGGCCGCACAACTAATCACTTAGTTTATTCACTTTGCAGCATGAAGCTTCTCAGCAAGTACTCTCAACGGCCAGGTACTAATGAGCGCTAATGAATGGGAAGTTAATTTGTGGCCTCATTTGTTTGACTGTGCTGTTGCCTCCCCACCCTCCATTCCCCCTGTATGGGTGGTGAGTGTTTCCCTGTGGGCCGCCGGTCATCCACTGCTTCTCGTTGTTCCAAGAGGAAGGGAAGAGGGGGGTAATAACTTGACCTTCATGTTGTCAGGAGACAGGGTCTCGTGTTTCGTTTGCTTATATCAGGCAGAATAACTAAAGCTATCCCTTCTTGTGTAGTCCTTTTGGTGTTTAAGTTCATTATTTAAGCTTTATAATTTTTACATTATTTTTAGTTCAACCATTATTTCCCTTTAACAGTTTTTTATGTATCATCTTCATAGGCTAAATTGAAAGTATTTTTTGTGCTGAACTTGCTTATAATGAAAGTGGATATGATGGTGCTTAGATTGGCGTGTAACTGATGTCCTTATCTGTCTTGACCAGGTACACAGCAGTACAGTAAATACACAGGCTATTCTCAGACCTACAAATGGAATGGCTGCCACCAGGACGTTACTCCAAGGTATGTATTTGTCTTGTAGCTTCAAAGACCGTCGAATGTTTAAAAAAAATCATAATATTTTTCATCTTTTCTTTTAGCCGTGATAGTTCATGGGAAGTTAATTTGGTTTGGTCCAAGCTGAAGTATCTAAAGAACTGATAATTCAATGTTTTATAGACAGTAAAGTTCACATATTTTCCTCCTTTACAATCAGTTTAAATAAGTCTCCTCGCCCCCCTACACAGTTTCTTGTTATAAATCCACTCAGATCCTGTATTTCATCATGTCTATAAACCCCTCTATTTCAGCCCTGCTCAGAACAGGCTGTTTCTGTGTCTGTAGCTTTAAATTCAAGTGAGCTGTGTTCAACCACGCCCCCTCTCTGGAAGGGCTTAGGTGCCTTGGGCTTACTTGCACCATACCCAATTGTACATTGAGTAGGCAGACTCAGAGGGCAGAACAAACACTTAGCTGTGGCAGTGTCACCCACCTAGGGGGGGGGGTTACTGCCCTTTGTGATGTCATGAAGGGAAAAACAGCCTGTTTGAGCACACATTTTCTGAAAAGTGGAGCAGGAAAAAGACGAAGAGGACAGACTTTTCTGATAATTGGGGGGTTTGTAGACCGACTAGGGACACATATTAGTGTTAGAAAAACATGTTTCAGTGTATTTTTCATAATATGTGACCTTTAAACGCCTTCAGGTCAAATTGTATTGTTTTGTGTTATCCTGACATTAGATGTTGCATCAGATTTGTTCCACACTTCTTGTCTTCCTTTGAATTACTTCAGAGACGGCTGGCAGAGACGATGCACGGAGATCGTAGCCATCGATGCGCTGCAGTTCAAGAACTTTCTGGAACAGTTTCACCCACAGAGAATCAACCGAGAACTCAACAAGGTTATATTTTATATTTTATTTTCTGTATTTCCTGCTAGCCACATCTTACTGTGTTTTAAGTATTTCTTTCATTTTTCTGTGTAGCTTTCTGCTATACATACCACAGACATAAGAACTGGTGTACGTGCCCTTTGCTCCTCCTCTTGGCAAAGTTTTGGATCACAGAGTGGTTTAGAGGGCGCCGGATAGCCTAGTGGTAGTGTTTGAATGTCCAAGGAACAGAGGCCTTGATCCTGGTCACGGTGGCTGGGGGTTAGCGTCTGGCCTTGACCATTTGCTGCATGTCATCCCCCTCTAGCTCCTCCCACATTTTCTGTCTCTCGTCCGCTGTCCTGTTCAATAAAGTCGGAAATGGCCCAATAATATAACTTAAAAAAAAGTGGAATCAAACACATAGAGACAAAACAAAACATACATCAGTTATCATAAAGCAGCTGTTAACGTGTAAAGTGATGCTTGAAGTGATTTTTGTGTTTTGCATAAAAATGAACCATTTCTATAATTAATGGCTGTGGAAGTGTGGGGGTAATCTACCATTTGATTTTTGATGTCAGACTTTCATGTCTTAAACCAGAAACATAATGTTTTAACTGTGACATTTTCATGATTGTTTAGTTTACACTCATTTAATTACTTTGATATTCATTTAGTTGATAATTGGAATCCTGTTTAATCTAAAATGTCAGCTGAAGGACAATTGACTCATTTTTATTTTTCTAAAGTTAAATGTGTGAATTACAGATTAGTGTCATAATTATGTTACATAGACAAATGGATTGTCAAATTTATGAGAGAAAATGAATTCCAGAGTTTTTCCTTTAAGGATCAAAACCAACCTCAGGACGATTGATATAATAACTACATTTACACTTCCATTTGTTGAACAGGAATCACTGCATATGTGAAATAATCCCATTCACACACGTCCGTTCATAATAGCCAAATCAAGATGTTGATGTCAAGACAGCCGTCAAAAAGCACAGATGAGTTTGACAGCTCTGACAAGAGTGTGAAGAATGCACCAACATGGGGATCAATCCGGTTTCGAATATTGTTCAGCCGACTGTCATATCTGCCCTTTCAGAGGACCAATTTATGACTGGTCAGGTGGGAGGATGGGCAATCGCCATTCATTTTCACGTTTTACACATAATGTCCAGAGTGAAAATTAATGTCCGTTCAGGTCTTTCATTTCATCCCTCCTGCTTTCAAAATCTATTCTTGGTGTATCATCAAACCATGTCATATCAAATGATCCTGTTCATGCGCATGGGCTTAGTCTTGTAGTGTGGTTATATGTATGTAAAATACCCCACACCAATTTTACACCAATTGCAACTCAATTGAGAGGCTAGGTGTGAAATGATTGAAATGTTACCAAATGATCTTTAAAAACTGTGTGCTCAGCCAGGAGTACCAGCCTTCATGTGTACATGCTTTGAATGTGTCAAGCACAGACCTGCAGGCAAATGGAATTACTTTGTTGCTCTCTGCGTTCCATTTTACGTTTGATAGCATGGAGATGTTCCGTCGAGCCGCTTCTTATAAAACTTACCACTGATCTGGAGCAATAAGGTGATCACGTGACATGAGGCCTTCTTTCATGTACCAAATGACACCTCATTCCCCCTCTCACCTGTGCTATCTGGCGTCATTTTGCTGACAACTTGATGTAACATAACCTGCTTTATTCACAATACGATTTTCGCATATTCTGAGACCAAGGTGTTACCTGAATTCTCTTCCTATTTTGAAACCCAGTGCAATATATTTATTCACCGCCATTTAAAGCCCTCAATCATCCTGTGCTCTCCTTCCTGTCTCTATCTAAAGTAACAGCTACCTTTCCCCCCCAAATACATTTGGAAAATAAATCCCTTTTGCCTTTGAGCAATTGTAATTCCTTTATAAAATGAAGGTTCACAGCTGTGTTCAATCTCATGTTACTGCTCGTTGTATACAGAACTAATAAGTGTTGACTATGTAGAGAAAAAAAAAATGTGTTTTCATACGCAGTCAATGTTTGACTCTTCTTATATCCTTGCATATGCTGCTATGTAAATAATAATAATACATTAAACTTGTATAGGGCTTTTCTAAGTACTCAAAGATGCTTAACAAAGAATAACAACAAGACAAAATAGTGAAAACAAAACAATGAAGAAATCATTTATGAGAGGGAGGATGAGAGTAGAGTTTGTTAGTGGTTGTAGGGGATGCTGAAGAGGTGAGTTTTTAAGGATTTCTTGAAAGAAGTGAGTATGGGGGAGTCTCTGATGGAGAAGGCCCTGTCACCCAGAGAAAGATGGTTGGTCCTGCAGGGGTGGGCAGTAGGTTTGCATCACTACATACAGAGCACATCATGGCTATATTTGAAAACCATGCCCATTGTAGGGTAAAGCAATGGGAGCGAAGGGCTCAATTGCAAACAAACCCCTGTAGCTATATAAACCATTAAACCTTCGGACATGTTAATGACTGTTTTAACAACCTCACAATCATCACAATTCTTGGAGTGAATGGCCAATGATTAAAATCAAACAGAAGTATTTGACCACATCTCAAGGTATGACAGTGATCATCCTTAACAAGGATCAAAGTTAGGACTTCACTTAGCCTTAACATCTAAGACAAGTTTGACCACATTATTAGTTGTCTGGATCCTACAGTTTACCCACTCATACCGTTGATGCCTCACATCTATTGTAATTGCCTCTTTGCACTTTCTTAAAGGCTCATTCAACGGGGTTTGAATGTCTAATACAACGTAGTTCTGGGATCTTCCCTGTTTACAGCACAACCCATCAAACAGCATCTTTTTGGGTTTTATGTGGACAAAACAAGTGACAAAGAGTTCAAAGTCATCATAAAGTGACTACTGTTTTTCCCTCTGCTTTGGGCGGGACAAAATAAAGCTCGGTCTTGGTTTGTGTCTTGTTTTACGTAGACTTTACTCTCGATAATATGTAACCTTTGACCTTCTCTTTACTCTTTCTTCATTCAGGCTTACTGCGGCTTTGCTCGCCCAGAGGAGCAAAGCCAAAACCTTGCGGCTGTTGCTACAGGGAACTGGGGCTGTGGAGTTTTTGGCGGCGACACCCGTCTGAAAGGTAAGCTCTGACGTTACGCCGTCGACAGAACATCCTGTAGAAGAAAAAAAAATGTGCACACAAACATCGCCTTCACCTCACTTGGCAGTCTAAGCAGACTGTCCCCCCCCCTGGATATTACAGAATACATTTTGGATTGAAAGGCTCCAGCAGATCAGCGCGGGCATCCATTTATCTTCTGGGAATGCGTTCATTTAGTTAAGGTCTATTCGTCGCCTTCCTTTTATTGATCAAATGACAAAGTTAATATGTTTCATTAATAGTGCAATTGATCGCCTGCTCGAGTCCATCAATCCGTTACAGCTTCCTGTCTGAGCCTTGTATCACTGTCACAGAGCAGGGCGCTTCAGGAGAGTTTAGGCTTTGCAGTTGCAGCTCTGTTTCTCCCTTCCTACCTTACTTTAGTGTCATTTTGCTACAAACTGTACAAATGCCTGCATATAAGGTAATTAGCTCAAGCAAGGTTCATCCCTCCGTAGGCATTAGCTCCTACTCTCTGCTTAATGACATGCCTCATGGGAAGAGCCTCTTAATTCAAACGCTGTTCACTTCCTGGTTTAACCTTCTGTGGCCTCACATTGCCACATATATTTTTTTAATTGTCAGATCCTTTTTAAATAAAAAAAAGCAGTTGAACCAGGAGATGGAAACTGCTGAAGTGTGGGCATATTCAGCTCGGCCTTATTTTGAAAATGTTGATTCAGTGTTGCTCGTTAACGCTGCGTCCCAACCTTCATTAATCAGCAGACATATTTCCAGTCTCTTAAAATATTCACAGCTCTCCGGGGCCAGACCTGGCCTCTCTTTGTAACTAATCCAGAGTTCTCAGTGGGGGTGAGACCTATTCCCTCGATTACTTACCTTTTACTGAACACAGAGGCAGATGCTGCTGCACGCTTTTTTAATGGTGCCACTAGCTAATGGATGAGTCTGTGTTGGTTTAAACTTTGCTGTATTTAAGTAATAAGACCGGAATATAACCTGCAAAAGAGACGCTTGTTACTGTGCTGAAACAGATTTCACCCTCACTCTCGATGTTTACAACTGGTTTCTTCTTCTCTTCCAGCTCTCCTCCAGATGCTGGCAGCTGCTGAGGCGGGCCGAGATGTGGCCTACTTCACCTTTGGTGACAGCAAACTCATGACAGATGTCCACAACATGCACTCTTTCCTCACTCGGAGGAAGATGAGTATCGGTGAGGCAAACAACTTCTCTTCCTGCTGTCTGTTTATATGCAGCTTCTTAACTTTTATTTCCTCTTCCTGTGCCTGTTAATTATGTTCTGGAACTAAATGTCCTTTTAGGATTTTCTTGTTAACTATGCACTCCCCCCCACCCCCTAAAAAAAAAAAAAATCAATGAAATGGCTCATTATTATTCCTGAACACTTGTTCACATTTTGCTTGTTGATATAAGGTCTACACTGCTTCCTTCACAGGGGAGGTGTATGATCTCCTGGGGCAGTACTACAGCTCAGTGTGCAAGAGCTGCCTCAGTCGGCGGCCTGACGTCAGCCTCTACTCCTTCATCTACCAACAGGTCGGCCCCTCCTCGGCGCCGGATGAGTCCGACGGGCGCTCGGCCAGACAACACGTCCCCTCAGTTAGCAGTTAAGGTCATGTGGCCGATGAGTCACTGTGCCTTATTGTTGGGAAAACAGACCATTCACCAAATTAAAAAAAAAATCTCATTCTGCCTTTAGCTTTCTATTTAATGATAAATATGTTTCTTCAAAACATTTTCAATCATCAGCGGTGGATTTACTAAGACTGGTCTCCACTGCTGGTATCTGAGCGTGGAAAAAAATCAGTTTTTTTTTTTAAACAACTGAGCAGCTGAAGGTGATTAGTTATGACCCTGTCTCGCGCTGTCGTCCAAGCTGTGTTCATTTTTGCCACTGCTGGTAATACGCCAATGGATTGAGCTTCAATACGACGCTATCGAGATTTTAATGGTGAAGCAAAGGTTGCCATCCATCTTGTGGGTTTGTCATGTTGCCTTTTTTTTACACCCACACATATCCAGCCTAATTGAATTGGCTGTCAGAAATCAAGTTAAAGGAAAAGAATAACAAGAGCCGGGATTGGAAAGCTCGGAGCAGGAAAGTGGTTTGATTTAAAGAACAGCCATGCAGGCTCTTTGGGATATTATCTCCCACCTTTTGGGTTTAGAATTCTAGTTTTCATTATGAGTCCATGAATTAAATTGTGGTTCTTCGCTGTGCAGTATGTGATACGCACTCCAGAGAACCCAGTCGCACTTAAAATATTATTTAAATTGGAGTGTTTCTATGTTTAAGAACTGATTTGATTGATATTTGTAGGCCTGTTTATTGTTTGAATTAAAGGTTACACAATTTTCTGACTGACTTTGTTTTTCATCCTTAATAAAAAAATTATTTGCAATTGTTAATATTTCCCATCTGGAGCACCATTTGAATGGAGCCACAAATGTCAGTTATACATCTCAGAACAATCAGGATGAGGGCTTCTTGTCCCATGAGCAAAATGAGTTTCTATACAGCCTTGCCATTTCTATTTCCCCAGCTATTGCCTCACCCTTTCACTCATGAGTTTAATAAGGTCATACCTTTTATATAAACTGTACATGACACCTCATTAAATAAAGAGGAGATCATAGAACATCCGGTCGGAGGCGGGAGTCGGGCAGTGAAGCTCCTGGGTGATTTCTCTGGCTGTCGGACGAAACACGGCTTCATTTGCATGGAGAAGAAGCTGCTTGACGATAAGTCTCAGAGGTGAGACCTTTGGCACCTTGTATTTAGGTTTGAGGACATGAATGAGTTTTAATTAATGTACATATTAGGGGGTAATTGAATGTGCAAAAACATTGAAACACCAAAAATGTGATCATTGTAGGTTTAAGATAATAAAGGTTTTTGTAAAAAGGAAAAAAAATACAAAATGTGTATGCTTAATCCAGGCTACATATCTGATGAAAGATGAGCAAAGCTAGCAGCTTGTTGCTTTGTCAGTGATGCAAGGCATTGTGTTGTTTTCTACCTACATGTCTGCTAAGCTTTTTACTGTCTGTTTGCAGATGATCAATTCAGTGGGAGCATATTGACTAAGTGTTTGTAAGTTGAATGTGAAATGAGAAAGTGCACACTTTGCTGAATGGACTCCTGGGAGCCCGTGCGTGAATGAACCAGGTGTAGGCGTCTCTAAGCTTGATGCTGTCTGCCTTCATGGAATCAGGGCTTGAGGTAGGTGGTCTCTCTTTGTAACGTGCCGAGTTCAAAAAAAGCCCTTTGGTGTCATCTCTCTCTCGATGGGATCCACCAGAAACACACAGGGGTATCCTACTGGATCGATCCCTCTGCAGTGGACCCCATGTGTCTCTTTGACCTTTAGCTTACCATCTGCTATAAAGTCACAAACAGCGATTAGGCTTTAAAAACAGTATCACACTTTGACACATGACAACACTTTAGTTTGGGTTACAGAACAGGTAAAATATACATGCAGGTAACACTAAAAAGCAGACAGGCTGTTGCTGAAAATGATACTTTTTGTTGGCAGTTTTTACCTTTGAGGGACTTCTGCAGGTAGGTAATCTTCAAGCAGGACTCATCCCATCCATCATATTCAATTTATCCGCTAGTATCTTCAGTGGTGTAAAAAGCATCAGTACGCACACAGCTCACGTGAATGACAGCACAGAACAAAAACAAACCATCAGAGGTCAACATCCAAAATGCGATCAAGGGGTCCTGAGTGACTGAAGTTTGAAAGCTATAAAAAGTGATGCATGACAGATTAGCAATACATAATGCTAAAGATTCTAGGGTTAAAAGCAAAGAAACATTCAAGTTAACTTTTGAGATATATTCAAAGCATGATAAATAGGTCATGAGTAATGTTATGAAAGGTTAAAAAGACTGGTTATATTTACTACACCATTTAAAATCAGGTCTCTTTCTATCAGTTTGACTGACATAAGAGATGGTAATGTTCACAAGTCTCAACAATCACTGGATGGACTAACACACAATTTATACAGACTCTTGGTTTCCAGAGGATGAATCATAGTGGTTTTAAGAATATTACAGTTCTATTTGATGTCTTCTTGAGGCCAAAATTGGAATCAGTCCTTGTTTTAGTTGAAAAACCTGCAATAAAAAATATTCAAATTAGCCCCATCTGTTTGTGGTTAGGGCTTCTTTACAAATATCAGCATGCTAACATGCTAAAACAAGGCAAAATGTCTCCTGGTAAACATTCCCTCCGAGTCCTATGTTCTCTAACATTGTTAAGGATTGGTTAGTGCTCTCTTCTCACCTTTATTTTTTACCGCAAATTCTCAAAGAGATAAAAGGTTAGGCTAGCACAACATTTTAAAACACAACAAAAATCGACAATCTAGACGGAGCTCTTCAAGCACAAGTAGTGTGCCTATGCATTTTGATTTAGTGATCACATACTGTACATTCCTCACTTTAGTAACACAGTTTTCTTTTGTATCAATAATCAATGGGTCTCCAAAGACAAATAAAATGCATCAAACAGTCGATAAATTAATCTTTGAGGCTGGAACAACAGCGCCACAGTATATTTAAAATTTTGCAGTGTTTCCGTCCAAGAAGGTCAGCTCTGATAACGCAGGGTGCTGTATTATAAATGGGAAGGCCTATTTAAATTCATTACAAGCTATTTACTTCATATCTCTTTATCTTTTGGGATCATTAGTGGATACTCCCTGTGGGGTTAGGAGGAGTTCTGTGAGGCTCTCTTGGATGCAGATTAAAGGCATTATCAGCTGAATATTGATATGTTTGATGAAACCCTGCAAGCTGTGGCTTACATTTGTTTAGACTGAAGACATAAGACTGAAATAGAATTCGTTGTCATGAGCTCCCTTTTGCTAATTATTCATACGTTGTCCTTTCCATGATAATAACATGCATTTAATGATGAATAGATTAATGCTGCATTTACACCTGGGGCTGTGGAATACTTGTGGGCTGCAGCTTATTTACAATTGATCTGGCATGAACTGTTATCACTTTCATGGTATGAGACGAGATGTTTGTGCATATACACAAAACTAAATTGATGATTGTAAGTTTGCATTTTTAGGGTTAGAATTGCTAAATGAGATCCTTTATTCAAGCAAATTGCATCATAAAACAAATCTTCATCAACACATCCACATTTTTTCCAAGCCATCAGCCAGTTCAGTAAACCAGCAATTAATATTCATTTTCTGACAACATATAAGACTTGTGCTTCCTATCTTCTAAAACACGTCTTTTATTCAATCAAATTCAACATAGCAATCACAAGAAACACTAATATTGCTTTGTCTGTAAATGTTTCAACTCTCACTGCTGTAGCTGTGAGCATGTTTGAACTCAGTGTGACCTAAATGTTCCACCACTTCCTGTGTCCTGCGTGACGCCTCAGCAGTGTCATAGCCGCTCTCGTTTGATGATAATTGGGTCTCTCCTCCGGCTCTTGAACATGCTGAGATGGTTCCTCGTCCGAAGGCAGTTCCTACACTCGCTGCCTTGAAAAACCTGCTTGCATTGTCTTTTACTGGGTCTAAACAGCCTGCAGACAAAAGAAACCCCTCTTAAATATGGACTGTTCTGCAGAGGCGGAGGTGGTGTTTAAGTCCAATGCAACAGCAATTATTTATTAGTGACAGCTTTCTGTTGCTGTTTTAGTTTAAATGTTTCCACTGCAATTGATCCAAAAGAAAATCCATTTTTATGTGATAGCTGTAGCTTTTAAGCAAACTGACTGCTCGCTCTGTAAGGTCAAGGATTGACTGAGTGAAGTTATTTTTTACTCCTGGTGTTATTAGATTGCCTATCTATCATTGGAGTGTCATGTGATTGATACTGACTCAGCTTGAATGAAAGATAAAGCAAGGCCATGGCTGCTCCAACACTAGAGTAAAGAGTCGCCTGACCAGTAAGGTGTGTAGCAAAAAAAGGACGGACTAGCTCAATACTCATGTTTTGCCATTGTCATTTAAATTCTTGTGATTATGTCCTAATTTTAATGTATTTTTAATCACAGAGTTTACAACATCAGCACATTTGGTGGAGAAAAAAAAACAGCTTGAAAGTCAATTGTTGATGATCCAAGTATTTGTGCAAAAACATTAATTCAATGGTCGTCATCATCAGTTGTTCCAAACCTCTTTTAGCTTGTGATCCCACTTTGACTTCACAAAACTTTGGAGACCCCAGACATCCAAAACACATACTGCTTTTTTGCTAAAACAATTGAAAATTCAATTGTCATCGTTTTTTTCTAATGTGTTACAAGTAAACATCCATTTTAAACCACTATTTTAGGTATATTCTTGTGGCCAGGGCACAAAGGTTGGTGTAATATTTGCGCAAAAAAGGGAGGATTTTATTTGTTGTGTACAGCCAGGTGGGTTTTTTTTGTGCAAGGCCGAAAATGAATTCTGGACACATGACGCATTGATGAGAGACGGACGGAGATACTGCAAGTTTGCATGTTTTTAGCATGGGCTGCGGCCCACAGTAGCCCTTGTTGAACAAGATAACTTCTTGTAGCTTAATTACGCCAGAATGCTCCAATATATTTAATTTAATCATTAATTAGATATTTCAGGAGACCCCATTTGAATTCCATGTGACTCCATTTGGGATCAGGACCCCAAGGTTTGTGAAAGCCTGGTCTTCATATTACTAGCCATTTAAAATTACATGAGCTGTTAATTAGCTTTCATCTGTGCTTACTTGATATCGCTTTACCACATATTAGCATTTTTGGCATCTACTTTAACTTTAAATGCACCACATATGAACTTTGAATCTTGTGGTATGTAGGCTGAATCGGTTTATTTTCCAGAGCATGTCTGTTCTGAACTGAAGGCATCTCGTCAGGTTTTTAATTGCACACTTGTTGCTGCTTCCACCATCTGCTCAGTGTCCAAACATTTCCAATTATAAATTCAAAAAGAGAAAAGTATATTCTGTGCCCTGGCATGGATTTCATATGGGAAGCCCATTAGGTGATAGGAAACCCACATGATTTTTGATTTATAAACATTTTGAAACACTTCATATTTTTGCAGAGGTCTACTTGTTTGAACCCGATGTATGGATGAATGAAACCATGTGAACTTTGGATACAGCAGACAGATGTCTCTCTGGGTTCCAAAGGTGCCAGAGACAGATGCTCCCCACAAATTTCAAAGGAGACATTTAACAGGCTTTTGCCTTGATCATTTCAGGAAATGATTAGATTCTAACACATGGCATGTGTCATTAACAGAAAGATAAAAATAAACATACACAGTTAGTTTGAGCGTATTTTACTAAAATGGCAAATTAAATGGTCAGGTGTCAGGAACTATTT